GATTATCATTTTGTATAGATAAAGATTGTAAACGATTGGTGGTTATTCTGTAAACCTTATACGAGTATCTAATTGCCTCATTGCCCAATTGTGTGTTTTCCGGTGACCAAAAAGTTTTCATTTTGAAGCGTGAATGTAGGGTTATGATTCCTTGTTTCTGTTCGCCAAGTTCAGGATCACGATCCCTTGAGTTTAGGCCTTTAGCCTATGCTGACTTGTTCTTGCTTATAAGCACATTTTGTTGCTTTTGAAGTACTTATTTGGTTTGAAATGAGTGTTAACAAACACTTTTACTCTAAGGTGGTGTTTGGTTTTAATTCTTGCATTTCAATTCCAAAGTTTGAATCCTTGAATTTCAAATGACAAGGAGAGACATGGATTTGCAATTGAGCTTTGTAACGAATTAGGGGAATTTGCCTCAAATCCAAATTTTAAGATTTTCCAAAAATGGAATTTGAGCCAAATCCGGATATGAAATCCAAATTCCAGTTCCCAAACATGCTGTATGGGAATGCCGCGTATTCAGGCATATCGGCCAAATAATCCTTACCACCAAACGGGCCCTTGATTGATGTATTGCCTGTATGCATAAACTCACACATCCATTTCCTGTCTTCTATTCTTTGTCCAGACAACATCAAGGCGTCTATCGAGTAGGAAGGTGGAGAAGTTTGAGAAGAACATCACCAAGCGAGGATCTGTCCCCGAAACCACTGCAAAGAAGGCAAGCAATTATCCAGTCGGTCCAATCTTGCTTGGGTTCTTCGTCTTTGTCGTCATCGGCTCATGTAAGTGTTTCTTGGCATTCTTCGAATCGTGTCTCCACTCATCTTGTGACAAGAAGAAATGCTGTTTCCCATTCCTAACTTCATTTTCCCCCCATTCTTTTACCAGCTCTATTCCAGATCATTCGGACAGCAACAAGCGGTGGCATGGCATGAGTGAGTTCATTTGTAGTAATGTAGAAGACATTGGCTGTTGTTTTTTAGTGTTGTTTGGGTTGTGTTAATGCTGTTTCCTCCATCTCTGTTCTGTAATAGAACCCCCAAAATATTCTACCTTTATTACTGATAATACAATAATGTTTCTGTAACAGTATCAAATATCGAGTTTCGTTAACATATTTTGATAGATAGATTCATTCAGAAATGTCAAATGATTTGCATGTGGTTTTGCATATGATTTCCTTCCATGTTTTAAACTTATGCTAAGAAGTCAACGAACACCAATTAAAGCACAGAAAAATTGCGAGCTCTAAATAAATGAACTTTCTCTGCCTTGTAGGGCTGGTTAGTTTGGAAGTTTGGACTTTTAGTTTCTCAAAAGAAAATTTTCTACTCAGTTTTTTAGGTTGCATCAATTGAATACATTGGTAATTAATAAATGCCCTCCCATTCTTTTATTTGGAAAAAAGAGGATTTCTCTATCATTTGCACAAAATTCAATCGTACATTTTAAAAGTCATGTTTCTGCGATAACTTCAACTTATGGAATTCTATTTAGGGACAGATTTGATACCACTTTCCTATTTTGAACTATTTTTCCACCTTAAATATGAGTAAAAATATATAGGGTCCGTTTGGTACAAAGAATTGATGGAATTGGAATTGAATTGGAATTAAAATTTAAAAATCATCCTAAATAGGACTAAAACATAGAGAAAAGTACCAAAATAGGACTTTCATGTTTTTTTTTTCGGAATAGGACTTTGCACTGTAGTAATGTGACTTTGCATTGTGGTAATGTGGCAGTGTACATGTGCAAATTACTATACTTTTTTGGTAATGTATATGACCATGTTTGGTAAGTCCTATTTCGGGAATAAAAACATGGAAGTCCTATTTTGGTATATTTTCATTGTTTTAATCCTAGTTTGGTCTTTCTCCCGCCATAGAAAAATTACCAAAGTAGAAGTTTCATGTTTTAATAGTCATGTTTGTTCAATTAAGTAATTTTACTTTGGGGCTGATTGGTTTTTAAGGGGGCTAGGCTTCTCTCTGATAACCCTCCCCGCCCACCTTTTCAACATGCCCTTTCTTTGAACAATCAAATTTTCATACTCCTACCTGTCGGATCCTCCCTATCTCCTAGTCCTAATATGACTTTTTTTATTGTGAACTACTCTCTCTTTGTCCACTTACCTTTTGGCACACCATCCAATGCACTTCTTTAATCCATTTTATCGTGTAATTTGTATATTAAAAAATTATAGAAATTATATATTAATAATCTATATGTTAAGACAAATCAAACAAGATCACACATGACTATATTTAGGCTTACACATTGAGAGAATTTGAAGAGTCAAAGTGCTTAGATGAACAATTCCAAAAATCGAAAGTGGACAAAGAGAGTGGGACGGTGGTAGTATTTTTTTTAAAATACCTAGTATATTACGTGGCAATAATAATTAAACTTTATGATAATTTCAAGTTTAATTGAGAAGTGTCGTTCTTCCTCGTATGGCCATTGGTTTCATTTAAAAATTACTCAATTCTAATTATGTCACTCTTCTTCTTTGATTGTTAAAAATTTCGCTTCTTAGAGCATCTCCAACCATCTTGTTTTGGCTTGCTAAAAGCCATAATATAGCAAGTCAACTCATTTTTTTCTTCTCCAATGGGTGTGTTAAACTTTAGCAAGCTTGTCAAAATATAACTTTGGTTTGTTAGATATAACAAGCTCTTCAAATTATAGGAAGCCAATAGTTATAAAATGGATTAGCAAGTCATGGTTGGAGAATGAATCAAAATATCTTTTGCTATGTCACTATTCACTAGTTAAAATATAAAAATAGCAAGCCAATATAGTAAACAAAATTGGAGATACTCTTATTCTCTTCTTAAAAAGTTCTTTGTCTGACTGATCATTTATCATGCTAGACCTACTTGGAAGAAAAATACTTCTTTTTAAAATTACTTTCTATTTTAGTTTATGATGATTCAGAAGGTTTATTTTCAATCAACTTATTTAATTATAAGTATAAAATTTAAAAAGAAATTATAGATTTAAAAGCTATATCAAAAATCCTCTAAAACAAGAGATGTCATGATTATATTATTTTATAAAATGGACAGCGAAAATAAACTATCAAATAAATGAAGTTTGGCGAAGGGAGTAATTCAAATTAAAAACCAGTTTTAACAATGCTCATCCGATTATTACTCTATTAAATTATTTTTTCATTTTGTTGCTAACACGTACATTATAACTCATATCCATGAAAAGTTAAACATGAGAGTTTTAAAATGAAATTGCAAAAAAGATTAAACAAAACAACTTACTCCATATTTAGAGCATGTACGTCATAAAATGAAGTGTATACATTTATGAGTTACACAATGTTCATTGGTCATATAGAAAAGTACTCGGTATAGATTTTTCGAACGAATATATTGCATAACTTATTTTAAACAATCAATGAAAATGTGTAAATAAAAAATTAATATGATTTTGTTAATAATGAATAAATTTTTATTTTGAGACCAATATAATGTTGATAGTGGGTGGCATTAAAAAATATGTGATACTAAAATCTCAATTCAAACAAGTGTGAATTTATCCACTGCCAATAAAAAATAAAAAAAAAGTAACCATAAACTTGGAAGATGCAATTGAAGGGGTGAAGTGGTCGTATATGAGTTCGAGGCATATTATTGGGGCAGAAGGATTACCGGGGGGTTTTAGAGGAGTAGGAACTGTCAATATTAGGAACGGAGCATCCTATGGCTTCCGAGGGAACCGGGTGTATTATAATATGATATTCTCTCCACCTCCAAAGACAATATAGTTTGATCTTGGCCATCGAGACCGACCTTGGTCCTCAGAGCCAGCCTCAGTCACTGAATAATTTTTTTGCTAAAATGTGTGTCAATGGTATATTTGAGTGAAATAATTTTGATGATATCTTTAATCTTATATCTTTTGAAGAAATATTTGATAATATACAATAAGCTTATTTTGACACCAAGGGGTGTTGTCATATTATGACACTATTCCAAATCGAGGACTCTACCACCTACAGCATTGTAAGGATCTCAATTAGAAATTGAATTGTAATACTGCATACTATGGAGTATTTCACTTTAATTTGTGTTTTCATGTTCCATCCATATCATTTCACCCACCGAGAACTGCAATTAATTATAGTAGCTTACGTAGCAAAGATTATTCCAGTTGTTACATTATATTTTATCAAACAATTTATAGTTGGTTCAGAAATATTTCAATTTTATATTTTACTAATAGGTTGTTGCTGGTTAGACCTTTTTGAAAGGCAAATTGGTCAAACACGATAAAACTTGCTAAGAAAATTAACATGTGCACGTTAATGTCATTTCCCTTTCATATATTTGGTTCCCAAGCTTAGAGGCCGTGGAGTTATTTAACAGGGTCCAGTAAGTCGTGCATATTAATGTCTTAGCTTCTAAAGCTCATAATTATCTTTTTAATGGGATCAAGTTTACTATACAAAAGAGGATTGATGCACTGCTTGTTCTCCGTTTATCTGTTACTCCCTCCGTCCAAAAAGAAAGTTACGTTTCATTTTTGCGCATTCCATAAAACAATTCTATATCGTCTAAAATGTCAAAAAATTTTCAAAACGATTTCTATCCACAATAAAAGATAAATATAGTAAACTTTAGATATTTTAGATGTGACTAGAAGTGTTTTTTAAGATGTGTAAAAAATGAAATGTAACCTTCTTTTTGGGACGGAGGGAATACTTTTTTTTGTAATTGGTTAAAAGTCATTAATTGTACAAGTGAAGCTAAATGGATAGAGGCATATTTATAAAAGAAATCCCATTTTGATGTAATATTCGGATATTCCGCGTTTGCCGACTGACACTCCAAACCAACATAAGAGATGAAATTAAAGAGTTGAAAACATAAACACTTGAACATGTTCAACAAATTCTGATTTAATAACACTACGGTTTTGCTCACGCTTAACGAAGACATAATCTTAATGACGCTTTTAGCAATGTTTTAGGATGGGGATGATGAACTGGCGTAGCAGCTGGAGTCTTGTGAAGACCATGGCAGAGGCGACCTGCCACGTGTCTCTTTTCGAAATTTTGTTTCACTACACTCCAAACAACACGCACCCCATCACCCCTCTCTCTGGAATCTCCTGCAGAAATATAATATTCACTCCATTTTTTTCTCTCTGGGTATTTGTTCTTTCTTTGTATTTATCGACGAAATTTGTTATTAAGCTTTCTCTTCTTCATCCATCGCTCTTTCACCCTTTTGAAATCACCCTTGGGAGGTAATCATAATAATCTTAAGTAAAAAAAAAAACTCCTCTTTTTTTCTCTTGTTGATGTCTTCAAGCATTCAAATTCCCATTTTCACAGTCTATTTGTTCTTTTCTTCGTTTTGTAGCTCTCAAAAAATGGTAACTTTTTCTTTCAATTCCTTTATTGTTATGGATCGTTTTTATGTAAAAAAACAGATATGGCAGAATGGGTCTTTCGATTTCCTGGTTTGTGTGGTTTAATTTTCTCTGTTAAGTGCATATCATGAACTGAAATTTATACGTTTAGACCAGAGAATGGCATTCGGAATTGAAGAACACTGTACTGTATTTAGTTTCTCAATCTTGAAAATCGATTTGTATTATGTTCATTCGTGATTCTGCAGGGAAAATGTGTTTTTTTCTGGGCTAAAAGAGATCAGAGATTAAAAGAAAAAAGAAACTATTATGGAGATGGAGTGGAATTGTGAAAGTCTGGTGATGCTAAGGTCAAAACCAGGCGAAGTTCCAAAGAATCTGCTGCAATGGGGAGATGCTGAGTCTTTCAATGGTGTCTATGTAGATTCAACTCTCAAGGGCAAGAAAATGATGCATTGCAGTGAGGGAGAGGAAGGGGAGAAGGAGAAATATGTCAATTCTCATCCGACTATCGATACCACAGTTGGACCTGTAGAGCCATTGATGGGGCTGAGGCTTGGGAAGAGAACATATTTTGAAAACAACAACAGTTCCCACCATAGCACATCATCTTCCCATGCCATCCCTGGCTTATCAAAGAGGGCAAAACCGTCTTCTTCCCGGGCTGGACAAGTGCACCGGTGCCAGGTTGACGGCTGCAATCTGGATCTTTCTTCTGCTAAGAGCTATCACCAGAAGCACAGAGTTTGCGACAACCATTCAAAATCCCCTTGTGTCCTTGTGAACGGATTACAACTCCGGTTCTGTCAACAGTGCAGCCGGTATGGTACACTTTAATGAATCATTAGTTTGATTCTAATAATGTTGTTTACAAGAACTTATTCTTAAAATGTTGTCCAATCACTTTGTTTCTGAACATGCATAATACTTTGCAAGAATAGAGATGTTACCTTTTTAAATCTTCTTTAATGTGAAGGTTCCATAGCCTGTCAGAGTTTGATGAAATGAAGCGCAGTTGTCGCCGGAGACTTTCCAATCACAATGCCAGGCGGCGTAATCCACGTCAGCAGAGTGATCCCACTCCATCCCTTTATGGTCTGTCGCATTCATTCATTCATCTCCCATCTTTCGCAATGAGTTCTGCTTGCTAAGAAGTGATCCTCAGCTTTTATTGATAGCTTGTAGATTATGATCATAGCTTCCCATGTTTGTTCTTGAATTTTGCAGATGACGGGCAACAGATGAGTTTTGTGCAGAACAAAGGCCAACTCGTCCCCTCTAAAACCGCTAGCTGGGAATCCCAGAGCTCTAAGCAAACTCTTGGCGACGAATTGACTTCTGAGCTAGAAAAAAGCAACCTGATCAGGCAACAACTGTACCTGCCAAATGGTAGCGCAAACTCTGCTGAGGTCTTCAATCTAGGTTCGTTTTCCCCCTATTCCGATCCATAAATATACTTTTGAAACGTACGTATCTGCCATTATAAAGCCATTTTCTTTTTGTGGGTTTCTTGATCAGGTGCCAAGGGATCATCATCCCTGTTGCCTTCACACATACCAGCTGAGTTTTGTGCTCTCTCTCTTCTGTCATCTACTTACACGGGAGGGGTCACATTCGACCCCAAATTCATCTCAAACAGCAGCAACAATGACAACATTGTGTGCGCAAACCAGAGTGGCTTTCCTGAGACAATGCTGCATGACAACAATATCCCACACCAGCTCATTCCCTTCGCCTCAACGGAGTACTGGCAATGGCAACAGGCTGCACCCAATCTCCATGCCCACCATCATCACCACCACCATCATCATGCCTTTGTTGTCCCCAACGCCGATCTCTTTCCAGATATCCAGTGGTTCAAAGCTCCGTGTGACCCCGCTGACTTTTACCTCAGTGCTTTCAAATGACAGCCCAAAGCCCTCCTTGCTTACTTTCGTTCGTGTTTTTGTATTCGCGCGTTGAACTAAACTTATGTTTGCCGAGTATCGCCTGTTTCCCTTTGCTGTTTGCCGATACTAAAATCCTAGACATTGAGTTTCTAAACTTACAAATTGTAGCTTGAAGTTCTCAAATGAATGGCTATTGTCAATTCTTAATTGCTCTCTTGGCTTCATTGCAGAAAAAACAACAATGCTGCAATCTTTCTTTAGTGGATGTTTACTACATGATTATTAAGTGGTACTTATTAAGTTTAGTTTTTGCAAGTTCATGCTTAATGCATATTAGTACTAGATAAGTTCTCTCACGGCCGTAAAAAAAACAATCACATCTCTTTATCTTGTATGTTCCAATAAAGTTTTACTTTTTCTAATGAAAATAACTGCTCTATTTTTGGGAGTAAGACTATGTACATTTGAGCTGTTTTTTTCTTTTTAAGGAATTAATCGTGTGATTTATACTCCATATTATTTTTATATCCTCTAGATAAACACTAACCACCTAAGTTTATCATTCTTTTCAAGAGTGTGGGGTAAAATGTGGTTTTATTTTGGACAGAGGACGTAATTGTTTACTCTATTACAGTTGCCTGGAGTATAAATAACAGGCATACGAGTTCATCGATACATATACTTCACGATGAGTGTCTCAAGTAGGAAATGACACACGTGTTCTTTTCAAATTGCCAGTGTACCTAGTACAAATTCGTCACGGACCCTTAGCTGGCTGGTGATAATAGTTTATCTTATGCATTTACGCTACGAACTCCACCTCAATTGAAAATGGAGGTGATGATCATGATCATGGAGTTGCCAATAAACTTGATTATTGCTTGTAGACGCGAGTTAGATGAGATCACGTAGGATGAACACAACGTTATTTTAGTGTCTCAATTGCAAATTATGAAACATAAGATGGCTCACAATGAAGCATTACAACAAAGTATGACACATATGATGGCTCGAAATGCAGCATCATCACAACGAGTAAGGTGGGCCACGCCCTCCCCGAGAAACAAAGATTCATCATAAACTCACACACAATGCAGAACTTATTCCAATTCTAATTCTAACATCAAGCCAAGAGTCCAAGCTTCAAGCAACCTGGCTAGCTGCTACTTGCATGTCTTCCTTCCTACATGTAAAAAACAACATCCCCTAGTAAGTGTCAAACTTCCCAACTATTTGGGAGAACATCAACATTCCTCAGCAGTAGAAAGAGCTTTGAATGTAAGACTACTACATAGATGCAATGACAATTTACACAGACATTGCTCCAATCATCACTCAATTAAACATAACGATACTAAATATCCAAACACCAAAGCAATCATTGTAAAAACGAAGCATGAAACATCAACTGAACACGAATATATTCCGGTTGGTTTCGTTATAGACCAAATTGACCTAATACTATGATTGCTCAACTGAAACCAATGTTACATTGGTTAGTTCCATTGTCAAAACTTATACTCCTTAATTTAAAGACTATGCACTGTATTTCTATAAAATCTTGATGACCAGATTTCTGGGTTCGATCGATTATGCAAATCATTTTCAAATTAATCACACTGCTAAATTTGGACAATGTGTTCAAACAATTGAACATAAAAGGTTGCACATTTGGATCCTGATTTACTGGTCAAGAACTGCAATATCATCAACTATGGCAAAACCATGTTCTTAAACTTGAGCAGAATATATGAAACTCACATAATCACTTGTCAGTGGATGTGGTAGAAGAGGGGTAAGGGGTGGGGACGTCGTGGTGGTCGTCCTGAAGAAGGTCGTCGTACGGATCACGGCGGCCGGGAGCTTGGCTGATCTTAGCGTCCCAAAATATCTGAGCATTGTGGCGGTCGAAAGTCCAGAAACCGTACGGACGAAGAGGAAGGCTCCACATCTCCTTCGTCTGCTTGCACCTGTCCTTCAACGTGTAGAGATGCTCGCGAAACTTCCGATCCCTCTCCTTCGGATCCTCCATCATTCTCAGAATCATGTTCTCGGCGAATTCCATGACGAACTTCATCTTCCTCTGCCAAATGTTAAACCCTTGCAGGAATTGACACGCAGTAAGGCCCTAATCGGGAAATTCGAAGTGGATAGAAACAAAAACAGAAATCGAAAATGGAATGCTATTTACCGGTGATTACGAAAGTCTTTGGAAAATCTCAGATAAGAAGAAAAAGAAGAAGAAGAAATATTCACCTAGCAAAGCTCAGGGAATTGCAGGATCTCAGAGCCCCGGTGATGGAGTAGGATGATGTGGGCTTCTCCTTAGGCCCATCAGATTGTGCGCATGGGTGCTCTAATTCGATGACGAGAGACTTGGGCCTAGATCCATATTGAAGTATCGAAATTGTCTCAGCCTCCAGACCTGTTTGGGAATGGCGCTAGTGTTTTAAAAAGACTATTTACAGGCATCATTTAGCCTTAACGATAATGTGCACTGTTAAAATTTATCTAAAATACTAACGTTAATCTTTAACACTATTCCCAAACAGATCCTCCATATTTCAAAATGATTCTCTTTTTTAAAAATAAAATATAATTTGTACTCCGTAGCATTTAAGAATGTCATGTCTTAAATTTTTCACAACCTAAGAAGTAGATGTAAGAAGTATTTTTGAAATGCTTTTAGGCCATCTCCAATGGGATGCCCAAAAGAGATGCTAGGAGGAGAGAGAGTGAGATGTTTGTGGATGCTATTATTGTAGATAGATGCTCAATAAAGATGCTCAAAGAGAAAAATGAAAGGAAGATGCTTGGACAAGCACCCGATGCTTGAGGATGGAAGAATTGGGACATTTGTTTTTTAAGTATTGTGGTCCAATATGTATGTGCCATGTGTCATATTTATTATTTTTTTCAATTTGAAAGTTTGCATTTATAGTTTTTTTGAAGGCTTGAAAGTTTTTTTTATTAAATTAGATTTGGCACCTTCAAAAAATTAGATATGGCAATGTTCTAGAATTCAAACTCTTTTTTAACGGAATGACTATTTTTTTTATTTATTTCGAAAATTTTCTTAGGTATTTGTTTTTTCTATTTGTTTAGAAACAATATTAACTACATCATATATTAATTACATAAAAAACATTTTAAAATATTTTACAACATAAATCTAAGAAATTTAATTTTGTATCAATATCTAATATAAGTTTTATTTAATTAAAGACCAAATTTTATTAATTTAAATGTAAAAAGTCAAAATTAGATATATATTCTAAGAAGAAGGTAATATTAATATTAATAATAACGTGTAAAGAATTAATCTTAATTAAAAAATTATCATATACTAAATACTTTCAATGTAACAACTACTTTTGAAAATGTTATCTAACAACTAATTTTGGGTTTAACAAGATCTGAGCCATTAGTTTTTCATTTATTAGGATGCTTCGATATTTCGAGTGAAGTGTCGTAGACATTTTTGTACTATTTAAAATTGTTCAAATTAGTCTTTATATTGAAAATTGAAATGATTCAGCACGTGTACTATTTTTGTTTAACTTGGTCGGTCATTCTATTTGCTTGTTCTTTTAGCTACATTCTCGAACTCTAAGCGATCACATATACTCCATAATTTATCATTAGTACTGCTAGAGTCAAACAAAATATCCACAAAATTTATAAACTAGCCAAATGTGTAAAGTAATGAGTTCAAATAATGGTCTCAAATAATTAAAAAATAAAAACTAAAATATATAAATGATAAATTTATTTATTTTGTAAGTACTACCTCCGTCCCAGAGTATTTGTCCACTTTCATTTTTGCACACCATCCAATGCACTTCTTTAATCCATTTTATCTTGTAATTTGTATATTAAAAAATTATAGAAATTATATATTAATAATCTATATGTTAAGACAAATCAAACAAGATCACACATGACTATATTTAGGCTTACACATTGAGAGAATTTGATAAATCAAAGTACTTAGATGAACAGTTCCAAAAGTCAAAAGTGGACAAAGAGAGTGGGATGGAGGGATTATTATTAATATTATTACAACTATTGTAATCTTAACTATAGTTTATAATTTATTTCATTTTTTCATCTCACAATTTTACGATTTACATTCATTATTATTTTTTTTTCAACTTTTTAATATGAATAATATAATTTTTTTGTATATTAATCTAAATGATAAAATAGGAAAACACCAATATTTTAAACTGTGATAAAAAATATTGATAGAATGGTTACATAGAAAAAAAATAAAGAGGGAAGATGAAAACAATCAGCAAAAATGCCAGAAAACGAAAAAAAGGAGCGGAGAAAAAAAGACCCCTCACCTTTCCCTTTATTACTCAATTTTTTTAAATTTTATTTATTTCAAAAATTTAATTTGTTTTCATTTTTCATATTTTAATAAGAAATTTCGAAACTGAGAATAGTTTAGAGAAAAAAGACTAAAGTAGGAGTAAAACATAAAAAATGTACAAAAATAAGAGTTCTGTGTCTTTATTCTATAAGTAGGAGATAGAATAAAAATAAAATGTGAATTATGAAAGAAAAATATGTTTGATTACATGACGTGATATTTCTGATATTTAAAACAAAATCTTGTAATATACTCGTATAAAGTATAATTACAATATATTGTTTTATATAATAAATACTACATAAATAAATTGAGGTACAACGTAACCAAAATGATTTTTTAAAATTTAACATTTTGATATTTATGCTGATTTTATATTTTAATTAATTTTTTTTGCAAAAGTATTTTTTTTGTGTATGAAAAATGACAATATTTTTTTATTTTAAAGACATTCATTAATATAATGGATGATAATTATAATAATAATTTATAACAATAAAAATTAGAATTAGAATAATACAAAAATAAACTAAAATAAATATTTTAAATTTTTTTAGATTTTACAATTTTTTCTAATTTTTCCAGTTTCATCTAATTTTTTCTAGTTCTCCCTTTTGTTCAAGTTGTGCTTTATAGTCTTACTTGCCCCCAGTTGGTATATCTTTCCCCTTTCTAAACCCTGGCTTGTCAAGGCACACCACCCCATCGGCCATCGCCAAAGAGGTCGCGGATAGGGTTATTACCTCCACTTTTAGCAGATTTCTATTCGGTCTACGGGGTAACAACTCTTAAACCCTAGATCTATTAGTAGTAGGTTGAATTGTGAGAAAATGTGTTGAGCTTTCTGCGTTTGTGTACGGTTGTGTTCGGTGTTGTTGAGCTCCCGTTCGAAATTGCAGTATATTCGTGCTTTGTGTCTGATTGTTTTAAAAAATCTTCTTGTAAAATGGCTTATTTCAGTTTCAGATATGTGGTTTGTGATTTTGTAATTAATATGAGTGAAACTTTGGGTTAAAATTTATGGTGTGTGTTCTTGAAACTGTTTTTTTTTTGAGATTTATGTTAGATTTAATCGTATTGTTTAATTCCTTGTCAGAAGTTAGTTAGTTTAGATTTAAATTTTAAAAATAAAAGGGACAGTTATGTCATATAGACCTGCTGGTGGAACTATAACATGTTTCCCGGTGATGCTTTTCTAGTTTGCAATGCTCCCTTCTTAGCAAAATTAGGGCACTATTAATACATCAAGAGAGGTGATCAGCCTTAAAAGTTCTCATTAGTTTAAACTGTTTAAGTATGAGCTGAACGCATAAAGAGGAAGAGGGAGTTTCACGGGGTTTCACTTCTACATTGTGTTTCTCCACCGATGATCATTCAAACAACCCACCATGTATAGGAAACATTTTGCTGTGATGATTGGAAATTTCAATGTGAAACTGTTTTGATTGTGGTATGGCAACTCAGTAATTTTTCTGAAATTCCCGTTTTTTGAGAGTTACTGTGTAGCAGCCACCAGCGGATTTACATCTTAGTCTCTGAAAGAATGCCAAACCTGAGCACATTTTCAGGAACGAGGCACTTTGCAACTCCCAGAGGAGGTGTCCAGATTTTTTAGGCTCACAATTTCTTTCTGGTTCAAGTACCTACAGCTTCACCACAACCACATAACAGAGACAGTATAACATTGCATTAACAACCTCAGAAGGGTGTTTGTCATAGTTACGACGGCTAGGCGAGGCTGGGCGCCGGAGTACCTTCTAGTCGCCAAGGCAATTTGGCGTTCGCCTAGGCGTCCATTAGGCGAGTGCAGTGTGGCAATATTATATATGTGTGTGTGTGTATATATATATATATAGTGAATATATAGATATAAAAAATGAATGCACATATATGCATACACAGAAAAACGATCAGGCACGTGTTACTTTTAAAAATAGAGTTTTTCATCGCCTTAGGTGTATTCATGCAGGATTAGGATTTAGGCGAAAGGTGAGACTAAGGCGAGTGCCTCATCGCCTAGGTGTTTTCAGGCTAGGCATCATTAGGCAAGTTCATAAAACCGCCCAGACGCCTAGGCGACGACTTGATAATTATGGTGTTTTTTTGGTGCTGGATTAGTTTAACTTGAAAGTGCAAAGTTAGCCTACTTCTCAGGTTGATGGATTTATGGGGTTATAATTATCCAAATGTCAATCAAGCTTCCCTTATTTGATACTCCGTATAATATAGTTCCTATGTTCCAACTAATCTTCGCGCCCTGCTTAATAATGTTATTGGGCTGTAAAGAGTTTCTTTTCCTTACTTTTTTGGTATCAGAGTCTTCAGCCTAGCTATATTTTGGCTTGGTAGTTTATGCTGCATCCTGCATCCATGGCAGGGGCGGAAAATGATAGTTGTGTGAGAGTAATGATGATTCTTACCCTCATTATATCTGGTTGGGGCATATCATACCTTGGAACTCACATGCCTTTCCAAATGGACCCTAAATACTGTATAACACAGTTCACTTCTCCCCCATTCAATAAAAAAGGTCCTTATGAAATGAACAGTCATGAAGTAAGTACATTTCTCTAGACACTACAGAATCTAGAGGCTGTGATGATTACTAATTGGATTCAAGAGTGTCAGTCACAACCCATGTCGTGGCGTGGCAGTAGGGGTGTTCATGTTTAGGTCTGGACCGAAAAAACCGACCGGACCGGACCGATAGGTCCAGACCGAACCCGGACCGAATTGATTTCGGGTCGGTCTTCGGTCCAGAAGATATATGATTTCGGGTTTCGGTCCGGTCCGGTCCAAACCCGATTACCATTCGGTCTGGACCGACTGACCGATAAAACCCTTTAATTCCTGATTTCGACAACCCTACCCAATCCGGCTATCCCTTTTCTCTGGTGTCGTTTCTCCCTCTCACTCTTGAATCGACAATCTCCATCTTCTCTCAACACAAAATTCCCATTATCCAGCAAAACATCACTCACTTTGGCTTCCGATTGACCGGAGTAAAGCTCGATCGAATCCCCTCCGGAGGAATCGATCTTCAGAGTTCCATTTCCGGTTATGAGAAGAACCCCAGAATCCGATTTCAGCGGACGGCCTCGATTGGCGAGCCAGCAGGGCTTCTTAGTGTCCGATTTGTACCAAATCGAGAGGTATAATTCGCGAGCAGGGCTTCTAAGTATCCGTTTTATACAGTTGCATGATGGAGTTTTTTCACTTTGATACAATTGCATCCTCAATTCCCTACTATGATTTGTGATCAATTGTTATTTTTGGTTCCATTTTGGAAGGAATCTAATGAAGAAATAAAATCCAAGTTACTGCCATTTTTTATACAATTGCATGATGAAGTTTTTTCAGTTTAATACAATTGCATCTCTAATTCCCGATTGATTTGTGATTAACTATATTTTTTTTGGGTATAATTACATTTTTAGGGTTATTCTACTTGTAAAATATTTAAAAAAATTAATTCTAAAAAGTAAAAGAATTAGTACATTTCGGTCTTTTCGGTCAAAACCGGTCCGGTCTAAGGGTTTTCGGTTCGGTCCGGTCTAAAACCGAACACTTATAGGTCCGGTCTTCGGTCCTTATTTTTTCCCATTTCGGTCTTTGGTCTGGTCCGGTTCGGTCCGGTCCCGGACCGATGAACACCCCTACGTGGCAGATGTATATTTGCAGCCATGGTGGGATTGGTTGATTCATAATCTGATTGAGAAAAGGCGAATCTGAGCCTCATAACATTTTCTTTCTAGAGGAGTTGAAGTGGCTGATTTTATATCCACTTTATGCAATAAGCTTAAACAGCATAAGGGTCTGTTCATTTGGGTTAGAAAAGTTAATTCTAACTTTTTTCAACTCCTTCCAGCTTCTTTCTACTGTAATCCAACAATGACTAAAATAAGTAATTTCATATGATGAATATACAATAATATTATATCCAAATTTGTAACATACCACCTTAAGCGCAGACATAGATGAATTTTTTTAATCCAAAATTAGACTTCTTACATATTTATTTGGGTGATTATTTAATCGATTGATTTTTTAAACACTTCATTTTTTCCAATATTTTCCAAATCTTTCCAGTTTTTTCCAACTCTTCCCGTTTCTTCCAACATCTAACTCTGGTTTTACATCCCAAACCAACAGAGCCCATGTGTCTTTTGATTCTAAATATCTTTTTCTACTTTTTGTGCTGCTCAAGTCGAGGTCTCTTTGAAATAGCTCCTCTACTTTTGAATAGGGGTAACAGACCCTCCCTAGACCCTACTTTTGCGGGATTCTACTGGCTTGTTGTTGTGAATTTTTACACTGTCTATGAGCAATTGAGTGTGTGTTTCTAAACACTCTCCTTAGTTTAAACATGAGGCTGAACACACACACAGGAAGAGAGAGTTCCTCAGGGTTTCTCTTCTACATTGTGTTTCTCAGCCGATGATCATTCAAAATGTAAAATTAGGGCACTGTAAATGCATCAAGAGAGGCAATCAGCCTAACAAATTCTCATTAGTTTAAGCATGAGGCTCAGGCTGGACACACGAAGAAGAGGGAGTTCCACAGGGTTTCTCGTCTACATTCTGTTTCTTTGGCGATGTCATTCAAACAACCCACCATGTATACAAAGCATTTTGCTGTGATGATTGGATATTTCAAGATTCTAATGTGAAAATATGTTGTTCGTGGCATGGCAACTCAGTAATTTTTCTGAAATTCCCATTTCTCAAGTTACATTGTAGCTGCCACCAGTGGATTCACATCTTAGCCTCTGAAAGAATTCCAAATTTGAGCGTAAGTTCCGGAATGAGGCAATTTGTCAAACCCAGAAGCGATATGGAGATTTTTTAGGCTGGTTGCTCACACTTTCTGTCTGGTTCATACCTCGGAACTCACACGCTTTTCCAAACGGACCCTAAACACTGTATTTCACAATTCACTTCTTCCCCGTTCGGCCGTTCCTAAAAAAGGTCTTTATAAACTGAGCAGTCAAAATGTAAGTACATTTCTACAGACATTACAGAATCTAGGGATTGTGATGATTACTAATTAGATTCAAGAGCTTGAGTCACAACCCGTGTCATGGCGTGGCAGATGTTTTTATGCAGCTGTAGTGGGATTGGTCGATTCATAAATCTGATTGAGAAAAGGTAAATCTGAGCCTCATAACATCTTTCTTTCAAGAGGAGTTGAAGTGGCTGAATTTATATCCACTTTATACAATAAGCTCAAACAGCATAAGTGTCTCTTGATTCTAAATATCTTATGTGCTTTCTGTGTTGCTTGCTTGAGTCCGAGGTCTCTTGGAACAGCCCCTCTACTTTTGAACAGGGGTAAGACACCCTTCCTAGACCCTACGTTTGTGGGATTCTACTGGGTTGTTTTTTGTGAAATTTAACACTGTCTATGTGTGTGTGTTTCTAAAACCAGTGTGTGAAAATGGGCATAAATGTAACATAAATAACCCGCTGAAATCTGCTCCTAATGTAAAATTAGGGCACTATAAATGCATCAAAAGAGGTGATTCACAGGGTTTCTCTTATAAATTCTCATTAGTTCAAACATGAGGCTGAACACACGGAGAGGAAGAGGGAATTCCACAGGGTTTCTCTTCTACATTGTGTTTCTCCGCAAATGATCATACGAACAATCCACCATGTATACAAAAAATTTTGCTGTGATGATTGAAAATTTCAAGATTCTGATGTGAAACTATGTTGATCGTGGCATGGCAACTCGGTAATTTTTCTGAAATTCCCATTTCCTGGGAGTTACTGTGTAGCAGCCACCAGCGGATTCACAGCTAAGTCTCTGAAAGAATGCAAATCTGAGCTTAATTTCATGAATGAGGCACTTTGCAACTTCCAGAAGAATACGGAGATTTTTTGAGGTGGTTGCTCACATTTTCTGTCTGGTTCAGTTGCCCAAAATTTCACCACATAAGAACCACAGGATAACATTGCATTAACAGCCTTAGAAGGGAATTTTTTTGGTGCTGGATTACTCTCCATTGAAAAGCTAAGTTAACCTAATTTTTAGGTTGATGGATTTATAAGGTTTATAATCATCCAAATCTCAATCAAACTTCCCTGATTGTTATACTGCACTCCCTCCATTCCAAATAAACTTTGTGCCAATAAATTTTATGGTGTAATATCATTTTGGGTGTAGAAAATACTCTATAATATTTTCATATGAGGCAGTGATGAGTTCTTTCCCATTTCTTGACCATTTCTCGATTGTGCGTGTCATCCTTGTGCATGGGCCATGCTAATCTTCTCTGTATCGTTCCAATTTTATACATATATCTTGGCTTGGTAGTTGTTTCTGCTGCAGCCATGGCAGGGAAAGAAACTGATTGCTTGTGTGAGAGTAATGGTGATTCATAGCCTCATGTTTTTCTGGTTGGGGGACATCCGATATCATACTCGGAACTCACCCCTTTTTCCAAACAGGCCCCAAGTAATGTATATCACAGTTTACTTCTGCTCCCTTCCTAAAAAAAAAGGTCCTTAAAGAATGAGCAGTCATAGAGTAAGTACATTACTCTATACACTACAGAATCTATAGGCTGTGATGATTACTAATTAGATTCAAGAGTTTGAGTCACAACCCGTGTCATGGCGTGGCAGATGTAGTTTTGCAGCCATGGTGGGATTGGTTGATTCTTACTTCATAATCTGATTGAGTAAAGGCGAATCTGAGCCTCATAACATCTTTCTTTCAAGAGGAGTTGAAGTTGCTGGATTTATTTCCACTTTATACAATAAGCTTAACAACATAAGTGTCTTTTGATTCTAAATATCTTACTCCCTCCGGTGTTTTCATCCACTTTTCATCCATTTTTGTTTTGAGTCCTTTATTTTATTTTGGGTTAAAGGCTGGAGTTTGCTTCAATTTTTGGAGTTTGGAATTTAAAAAATTGAGATCATACAATTTATTTATTTTTTACCAGTTTTAAAATCTGTGATCTTCATGTTATTTGTGCATATTTTGTCAGTATTTTTAGTTCCATTGGTTGGTTTGCTCAAACTTTCTTGTTTATACAGTGTTATACAATGAGGTTAAAATGATGGATTGCGGCATTTACTGCCCTAAAGGGCCAAAACATCATATGAAGGAAGCAACAGAAGTTTAATATGACATTTTGAGAATCATATTTGCCTTTATTTTGTAGAATGCTTTACTTCCTGCATTGATCAACACGTTCCAATCCATCCAAGTTTTGATAGATTTAGTTAGAAGTCGTTGAGTCCATATAATTCTTAGAGCAATGCTTCTTGATTGAGCAAGCTATCTATGTGCTGAACTGTGTATTGTGTTGCTGGAAATCTTTGAGCATCTGCTATGTCATTATTATATTTACATTTACTCTGTATTTTTTTTTATCTTTTGCTCCTCAACTAAAAAAAGTCCCATTGATGCAGAATTCACAATGTCACGAAGATACGATAGCCGCACAACAATCTTCTCTCCAGAAGGCCGTCTGTACCAGGTGGAATACGCAATGGAGGCAATTGGGAACGCCGGGAGCGCCATAGGCATACTATCAAAAGACGGGGTCGTTTTGGTCGGCGAAAAAAGGGTCACTTCCAAGCTTCTCCAAACCTCCACCTCCACCGAGAAGATGTACAAGATCGACGACCATGTGGCGTGCGCCGTTGCAGGAATCATGTCAGACGCCAACATCCTCATCAACACAGCCAGGGTCCAGGCCCAGCGCTACACCTACGCTTACCAAGAACCGATGCCCGTGGAACAACTGGTCCAGTCGCTGTGCGACACCAAACAAGGGTACACCCAGTTTGGAGGGCTGCGTCCTTTTGGGGTGTCCTTCCTCTTTGCAGGGTGGGACAAGAACTACGGGTTCCAGATGTACATGAGCGACCCGAGTGGGAACTACAGTGGGTGGAAGGCTGCTGCGATTGGGGCAAACAATCAGGCGGCGCAGTCCATGCTGAAACAGGACTACAGGGACGAGATCACGAGAGAGGAGGCTGTTCAGCTTGCCCTTAAGGTCCTTAGCAAGACGATGGACAGCACGAGTCTGACCTCCGAGAAGCTTGAACTGGCTGAGGTGTTCCTCTGCAAGGACAAAGTTAAGTACCTGGTTCACCCACCTGAGTCTTTGAATAAGTTGCTTGTGAAGCTTGGCTTGACCCAACCCACTTCGGAGGAGGAGACCTAAACCTCTGCTTGCTCTTCTTCTTCTTCTATTTCCTCTGTTTACTGCTCTATAATATATTCTGATTTCTGGACTTTGATTTGTTTTGTTTTGTTTTGTTGATGATGATCACACATTATTGTGTGGTGGATATGAAATCAAAAGAAAAGTGTGAGATGCACTCATTTAACTCTAATCCCACTGTTTCTATATTAGTGTCCTTTTAAAGCGGTCTTGAGGTTTAAGAAAAATAAAAATGGTATGGTTGACAGTTTTTTAAAAAGAAAATTGAATTTATATTTGATCAAAGATGTTTTTTAAAAGAAAATTGAGTTTATATTTGATCAAAGGTGTTTTTAAAAGAAAATTGAATTTATATTTGATCAAAGATGGTCTGATACATCGAAATGTGAGGCAAATGTGCAATTGCTGTACTGCTAGTCCATTTTGAAGAATAAAACCAAGTCTTAAAAATTGTATCCATAAATCTAAGGGTCATGATATAACTATGATTTTCGATTGCGTGGCTTCACAATCTCAGGAGCAAAGAAAGTAAGGGTCTTTTTGGTATACGGAATTGACGGCCATTGGATTCAATTCCATAGAATTGAATTCTACCAATTCCAATTCATTTTTTACACTATCAATTCCAAATCCACATAATTTTTGTACTACCAAACACCAGAATTAGAATTGAAGTTCTCAATTTCAATTTCATAATTTGAATTTCGTGTACCAAATGAGGCCTAAATGTGTCAAGTGCAATTATTATAAACACGTGTTATGTGTCAAGACACTTCTGTCGTGTTTGGTCACATCGTATAAAGTGGCTTATTTAGAAAAAAAAATACCAATAAAAAAAGTATACAAAGATATACTTGTTTCTTAAAAGAAAATGTGTAAAGATTTAGAGGTATGATGAAACTATTTATAATGTTAAAAAAATCACACACTTTGACGCTGCGACAGAATATTTATAAATTATAAAATGCTAATACATAATATCAAATTATAGTTAATTTAGTTATGAAAATATAAAAAAATTATTTTAATATATACTCGTATTATTAAATTATAGTCTAATTTTATTTTAATTAATTATATCGTTAAAAGATTATTCAAAACTCTAATAGGTACTTCACTATTTACAAAAATTGTTTCTAAAACGCCTTTTGCAGTGTAGAGGCGGGCTCTAAGTAAACAAATAGAGAAATTGACTCCGGCAAGTTTGAAGCTTTGTTTGGCAGAGAACGACGGCTCTGTTGAAGAATAAGTAATGTTGAATAAGTCCAATGCTGAATAAGTCTAGTATTGACTCAGTATTTTTAGTACTCCGTATTAATCAAGTTTGTTGTCCTATTCTTTAGGAAGTAGCTGTACACTTCTATGGCTTTCCTTCTTTTTAGCAGATATAATTTCTTTCATGTATGGCCTATAAATTGGCTTTTCTATGGAATAATATATCATTAAGTTCTTCTCTGATTCCTCTGTTGATTTCCTGAGTTCTCCAATTTATATTAGTTTCATATATTTCTTCTTATTAAGGTTGCTCACAACCTGTTTGATAAAAGTTCCCAAAGAAACCCAGTCTACATTTGGTATCAGAGCCACATAAATTCACTGCAGCAGCAATATCAATTGATCCATGGCATCTGAAGGCTTTGTTCAACCTTCTATTCCCCGCTTTGATGGTCACTACGATCATTGGAGCATGGTGATGGAAAACTTTCTCCGGTCCAAAGAGCTTTGGGCTGTGGTGGAGACTGGAGCAGCAACTCCCACCGCTGAGATGCCGGCAGACCAGAGGACGAGGTTGGAAGCTTTAAAACTGAAGGATCTTAAAGCTAAAAACTACCTCTTTCAATCAATCGAACGGGCTATTTTGGAGACCATTCCTTGCAAGGAAACCTCCAAAGATATTTGGGAATCCATGAAGAAGAAATGTCAAGGAAATGCAAAGACAAGGAAGCTGCAGCTTCAAACTCTTCGTTTGGAGTATGAATTACTTCGAATGAAGGATGGTGAGAAATTTGCTGAGTATTACTCAAGGACTATGACAATAGTCAACAAGATGCGGTGTTACGGTGAAGAGTTAGAAGATGGAACCGTTGTTCAAAAGATACTACGGTCAATGACGGCAAAATACAACTATGTTGTATGCTCCATTGAAGAGGCGAATGAC